CTCCGTGGTGTTAGGCTCAAACCGCACGCCAGACAGACTGCAACTGCAGAGCAAAACTGTGCCGCCTGCGGTTAGGTTGGAGTGGGGTTAGTTAGAGTAGAGTGGACCTTAAGATTTGGTGTAAAACTTTCACTATCACATGCTTGACAAGCTCGTCTTGCGTGACGTGGAGTATGTCTCCTGCATGTGCAAGTGCATAGCCTTGTCCACGCAAGGCCAATCTGTTGCGTTCACTCTGTCCAGCGGAGAGCAACTGGAAGGTCGCCTTCACCAGGATTTCAAGGACGGTGTTGTGTGGCAAGGAAGGTGCCTCAATCTTGAGTGGGCTTATTGCCAAGTGCCTGTTCTTGAAAGCCTCCTGTCTCCGAGGTTCTTCATTTCCAACTCGCTTCCCTTTGGAGCGGGGGCAAGTGTGTTCAGTTTCAATCGCGTGTCCAGGAGCTTGTTGCGCATTCCCATGCACGTGGGGCGAGTCATAGGGGGAGTGTTTTATGAAAACATCCCCTTCTGCTTACCTCGAAGCTGTGTTCTCTCACCGTCGAAGGTATCCTGGACGTTCTGGGCTGGGCATTTTCCGAAGGATCCTGCCAACTATAAACCGTTCAGTGAATATTTTGCTTGGGCATGGAGCTTAATGTCAGTTCCTTTGCCCAAGGATCTATCAGCCTTGCCAACAAGGCCGCACGTGTCAAGGGTTTTCTTGAAGAGGCTAGCTAGAGGCTAAAAGCCTTAAGCTTGGGGTTTCTCTCTCTCGTGCGCATGCGGCCAGCTTGCGCGGCAAGCTGAACTTCATGAACTCTTTCATAGCCGGCCGATGTCTCAAAGTAGCGTGCAGGGCACTGGCAAATGTGGGACACGGTCCCAGGAGTCCTGCTCCGGAGGAGTTGAAGTCTCAAGGACATTATTTGGAATCCTGCCTTAGTAAGATTGCAGGCAGAGTATTTCACGTGGGGGATATGTTTCCCCCAGGCATTGTTTTTATTGATGCTGCGTTCGAGGACAGCAGAGCCACTTGGGGCACCTGTGGCATTGCTGCCATTGGTCTTCGTACAGGCGTCCGCGAGCACAAGCAGAAGCCTTTGCCCTCGAGAAATGTTTGCCGGCCCTTCCTAAGGAACCGCTTGGTAACATTTTACATTGGCAACGAGTCCACCCGTTGCGCAGTGATAACGGGTAGCAGTCCGTTAAGGACGCTCTTCAGAATTGTTTTGGAGTTCCTGGGTTGTGAGCTGGGGGCAATTGCATCCCTTGGATCGAGAGGGTTCCAAGTGCCAGTAACATAGCCGACCTCCCGACGCGAGATGGCTGTGAGGTTGCTGCCCGGCAAATAGGTGGGCGAGTGATTGACCATACGCAGGCAGTTCAAGCCCCTTCCTCCGAGCTTGCCAAGACAGTGGATCTTCCTTGGGATCTTCTTGCAAAGAATTGCCAGTCACAGAATGCTTGGGTAAAAATCGTGTCCGCGTTGGCCAACCTCTCGGAGATGCAGGGCCTGGGCGTTGTTTCTGATATGCGTGGGAGGGTGGTGTTCCCGACGTGTAACACCCAGCTACGCCCCATGACCAAGCTTGCTTCTTCTTTGCAAAAAGAGTGAGTGCGTATGCTGTTTGCGCGAGATCTGATTCAATTATTCACCTACATATATTTTTGGATGATTGATATGAGTTTTAAATAGAAGTTTCGACAAGTCCAAAAGACAAAAAAGCTACTTGAAACAACACACCACGGCGGCATTCAAACACAGGACGGTCGCTTTTATTAGGGTCCAATGTTTTTAGGGTTTAGTGTTTTAAGGGTTCCGTGCTTTTAGGTTTTGGTGCTTTTAGGGTTTAGGGCTTTTAGAGTTTAGGGTTTTTGGGCTTGAAGGCTTTAGGGTTTAGGCTTTTTAGGGTCTAGGGTTTTTTAGGGTTTAGGGCTTCTTGGGGTTTAGGGGGCTTGGAGGGCTTTGTAGGGATTAGGGCCTCTTAGGGTTTAGGCTCTTCTCGGTAATTCTGCAAGCCTCCAAGGCTCAAAAGCCCTAAAGACCCTGACTCGCCTGGGCAGAAGCCGGAAACAAAGACGAAGGATGTAGTAGCCGAGACGGACGTAATCGAACGTTTTCCGTGCGTTTTCCGAATGTGTTGGTCGGTTTTTGGAATCTGGTTGCGGCGTTTTCCGAACGCGTTTTCTCTATATTTTTTTTCGCACAGGCAGAATCCGGAAACGAAGGAAAAAGAGCCTAACAGGCGAGACAGACGTGATTGTACGTTTTCAGATGCGTTTTCCGAATTTGGCTGAGGCGTTTTTCGAATTTGGCTGCGGTTTTTTCCGAGTGCCGGCTTTTCTTATGTTGATTTTTTCTTTCGTAAAGGCAAAATCCGGAAACGAAGGAAGCAGAGTCTAGTAGGCGAAACAGACGTGGTCGTACGTCTTCAGAGGCGTTTTCCGAACTTGGCCGCGGCTTTGTCCGAATGCGGGCTTTTTCTCATATTGAAGCTTTTTTTTTTCGTGCAGGCAGAATTCGGAAACGAAGGAAGCAGAGTCCAGTAGGCGAGACAGACGTGGTCGTACGTTTTCAGGTGCGTTTTCCGAATCTGGATCTGGCTGAGGCGTTTTCCGAATCTGATTGCGGCGTTCTCCGAATGCGGGTTTTTTCTATCATTTACTTTCCTTTTTTTGCACGGGCAGAATCCGGAAACGAAACCAGAAGAGCCTAACAGAGACAGACGTGATCGTTTTTTTCCGATGCGTCTGCCTGAAACGTTTTCGAATCTGGTTGCGGCGTTTTCCGAATGTTGCTGAAGCGTTTTTCCGAAGGTGTCCGTGGCGTCGTTAAACCGCTTCGGGCGTTTTGTGAAAGTGGCCGTGGCGTTTTGAATTTGTTTGCTGAATGTGACGTTGCCCGATGTGACGCATAATCTCTTGTGCATATGCAGGCAGGTCATTTCGCAAGGTGTTGCAAGTGGACACGTGACTTCCCCCGCCAGCACGATGTGAACAAATCCGATTATTTGCATTCAGTCGTTTTCCGCATCTGCATTCAGTCATGTGGTTTCGCAAGTGGGGTTTGAGTGAGATGACTGAGGGACACAATTTCTATGAGATTTTGCCGACACATTAGGGATGGACCCACAGCATTCCGCTGAGTTTTGTTTGGAAAAATTCCGTCCCAATTGGACAACGCAATAAACAGGGTGGCCATACAAGGAACAAAAATGTTGCAGCCCATGAGATTTTTATCGCTTCTTGAACAAAGCGCACAGTTGTTAGTGTCTGGATTTTTTATCTTGCAACAGCTTCTGTATGCAGAGAAATTTTGAACGACGCCGACGCTGTTTGCATTTGTGACTGGCAGATCCCACACGGAAGATGGAATGTTCATCAAAAAGCCCACCAAGCGTTGCCAGCCCAATTCGTACATGATCCATGATGGCGAAGTCTCAACTGCCGCCCATGTCGTAAACGATTTCCCGGGATGATCGCGGCTATGTGAGAACCGATGACATTGCGAGCCCAAGGGTGCTGAGATCCCATGAGTTGGCCTCTTTGTCGGAATGCATATTTTTTCATCCGTAGTCAAGCCTGTAGCCTGTTGGGCTGTTCATGTTTTAGCGTGCTTCGACCCCAGTTGCATTTTCAATCCCATGTTTTGTGTTTACGAACAAAGGACGTCAATGTTGTGATCGCGCTAGTTGGGACTTGCAAGGCGTAGCATGGTACGGGGCAAGATGCTTGTCCGTAGCTTTCATTGGGGAAAAATTTAATTTGGCAGCCAGGAAGGTGAAAGTGAACACCATGCCTGTTTGCCCTCAACTTTGCACATGTTGCGCAAGTTTTGGACCGTGGCACTGGTGTTTGCAAAATCTCCAACGGCAAGTTCTTGATCACCGATACTCCGGCTCCATATTTTTCAAGCTCTGCATGCATTGTGTCATTGAGGAACAAAGTGCAATCTGCAGAATGAATGTTTGGTCATGGCAGTGGGGCGTATCAACCTTGCGGGCGAAGTTTTCTACCATGTCAACACTCGTGTAAAAACTAGATACATGAAATGCCACAGGCTAGCATTATGCATGGCTGACACGCTCAATGATGGCGGTGGGATCGGCTTCTTGGTTGATTCACTGCGAGTGACAACAATGCCCGCGATGTGTGCATCTGCCCACACCCCACGTTGCTGTTTGTTTCTATTCTTTCAGAGTTTTTTGCATGAGGCTCATGCGCATGCAATTTCTGGTATGCAAGCTAAGTCTTTGTGGAATGTGCTGTGATCATGATCTTCAAAACGCATGACCATTTTCTTTTTGACGTTTTGAGGCGTCAACTGCCCTCCGCAGTGCAGCGGATGTTGGCACGGCGACCGGACAGGCATTGCACCAACATTGATCACTTCGAAGCTGGAAGATATTTTGTCATGAGCTGGGGCGCAGATCTTCTTCGCTCCTAGTGCAAGGCTTCGAGTGCTCCACGTCTACGAGGTGGTTACCCTGCCAGCCAGCTTCTGGGCCGGATGATGCGTCCACGTCTTGTGCAAGATTTCCAAGGTTGATTTGTCGGTATTCGTTCTTCATAAGATTCATTAACAAACACCAATATCCGAGGCCCCGTGATGATGAACCCATCCCGGGCTTCACCGACCAGCTGCCGCGCTCCAGGAGTCCGGATCGAGCAGCTGCATCAACGAGCTACGCAACTGCGTTGACCTTGCAAAGTTGCAGCCTATGCTTTGAGGACCAACTCTGCAGAGGCGCCGAACTGGCAGGTAATGGCTGCATGGCTGCACCTGAGCGCTCAGCAAAATTTGTCCGCTTGTTTTGTGTGTCAATGGCGGTATTTCAAGTAGAGCTGGTTCTGCAAATTGATGAAGATGCTGTCATCGGCAAGGAGTTATGTGATAATGAACTGAATGCCAAGGACTTCGATTCGGAGTCTGAAGGGCTGGAGCCTGAGGCAGACACACCCTTTGGCGAGGCGAGCTGTCACGAGTTTGTCATTGTCATGTTGCTGCCTCGAAGCCTCGTGCAGCCTGGGTTCGTTTTGCTTTACGCTGCATCGGATTTGGATGCATTTCCTATCTACGGCTTGAACGTGGCCAGGCTGATGACTCAACTCTCGAAGCCACAAAAGCCACACGGAAGGCCAGGCAGGTGCACGTTGGCAAAGGATCCGGTTGAAAGCTTGCTAGGCTTCCTGGGATTGTCGTAAGCAGCTTCAGGACACACCTGAACTCATCCTTCTGCAACGTTTGGAATGAGGGCTGAATTTGTCCTGCACAGAGCTGCTCTCAGGCCCGCTCAAGGCGGAAGAAGGAGTTCTTTGAACATCTCCTGCTCCTTGGTGCATTGGCATGTCTGCTGTAAGCTGTGAAGCTAGACCCAGACCAAAACTTGCCCACACGGAGCGCAGCTTGAGGTCTTTCCCAGCGGCACTGAATCACATGACATTTCGCCATGACTTTGCGGCCGGCGTGATAGCTTCTGGGGCAGGCACCAGATAGTTGTGCGCAAACCTAGGAAGGTGACTGAAGGCGAACTTTCTGTCGCATCCACTTTGGACCATGCTGACGTACACATACGTTTTGGACAGCACGTCCTACTGTTCGAGTATCAGTTGCTTTCAGTGTGTTTTAAACGCAATGCAGGAACGTTACGTGGGCGAGTGGAGGCTGAGATGAACATAAGTGGAAGATCCAGAGTCCGTGCGCAATGTCCGTTGACTGACAGGTGTTGCGTGCAGGGATGCTGAAGAGGTGCTGACCCGCAGCAAAACGGGTAAAATCACGGTAGAGATCTGGACAGAACAGCTAGCAGCGATTTGCATCTTTGAATTCTTGAAGCAGCTCCTGGGTGTCTGCTGGTGAAATGAACGGGTATGTTTGCAGGCCCCGCTATGGTCTTTATGTACGGCTATCGCAGGATGGAGGCATTTCGGAGGAGGCCAGAGAAGGGCGCCGTGAATCCTTCTAGGAGTGTTCAGCTGCTTTGTCAGGTGATGTTGATGGCAGCTGAGAGACAGCAACAGAGGACTTTGGGGCCTTACTATGTCATCTCTGCAAATGCCTCTTGGCTGCAAGATCATCAGCAGCTTAAGCTGTCTCCGGGTTGAATTCTGCGCGAGGCTTTGGACTTTGATCGCGAGTCACCCTGCTTTCTTGGTCGGCTAGCAGGACACCTAGGTAATGCTACTGGTGGTAGGCAAGTTTGTGGCACGTGCAGAAAACGGCCTATGCCTCTAGCGTCAATGTCAATCATCACCGATCATAAGCTGCATGAGCGTTGTCACAGAATGCTGACAACTAGCCGCGGAGTTGCTAGCCAAATCTTGCTGAAGTCAGGAAATGCGATGTGCACACAGTACCTTCTTCACGGGCAGCAGCTTGGTAACGAACGGTCCTTTTCAGACTCTTTGGTCTGTCCATCTTTTCGACTATGACAGAGGCGTTGCAGAAGGCAACGGTCACAGCAGAAGAAGCCCGCTTCTCTCACATACCATCATGAAATACATGGTCCAGTGGACGCCGTTCGTTTTCTGCCGGCATGTTGCCAGAGTGTTTTTGATGACTTACATCTTTAGCTGACATTGCTGACCAAGGCGGGCTTCAGGTGCACTGCGGGAGGACAGGCTGCTGAAAGCGGGGAAAGGGCTTGCATGGGGCCCTGCGACAGGAACTATGCTCCGTGCGGTTCCGAAAGCCCAGCGATGCTCCACGCAGCATGCGACGTGGACGGAGAGGTACGTTGGGGTCGTGTGTGGAGGTGTCGCCTTCAGCCAAGGCATGTGGTGCTACCAAGCAGCTCCTCTGCGGCATCCTTCTCCGCACGAAATGGCCAGGCCAGATCATTGCAGCATTCCCCCTAAGTGTTTCAGAACAGCTTTGGGGAAGAGGTTGTTTGGGAGTCTTCCTTCTCAGGAGGGCACGCTGCTCAACGCTGCCGCGGGAAGCGCCAACCGCGAGAACGGGCCTTTTGGATATCCAAAAGACATGAGGTTTTTTTGCCTTTTCTCCAAGCAGGCAAGCCAACCAAAAAAAATTCAGCCAGGTTCAACTATCTTGTCAGTCCGTCGTCCACTTGGGATGTGGCACGTGGCTCGGGGAGGCAATCAGTAGTCCTCAAAACATGCGTTTTTGGTGGGGGATGGCAAGGCAAACGTGATCCATTTGGGTTTCTCATCGTCCAAGGCAAGGTTTACCGGATGAACTTCCACGGACGCGTCCATTGCTCATCGTCCAAGAACTTCCAGCTTGTTCAGGCTCATGCTTTGCAAGCAGACTTCTACCTGCCCTCAGAAAAGTGTTAGTGGACAATCAGTACGTCGCAGCGATGCTTCTCCACTTATGATAGTCTGAGCCCCAAGCTGCTTACTTTAGCAGCTGAGTTGCAGGCCGACAGCAGCTTCAAAGCCGAGCATCCGGACGTGGGATCTAAAGCATGCAGCGGTCCACCACGTGCACGGTAGATTTTCCGAAGCGGTCCTTCATGCAAGACTTGGAACTGTGTTGATGTGCCGTTGACCTAGCGATCCCTGTGCAGGAGCATCTAGCGATGCAGTTCGGTCGGATTGACGGAGCCAGCTTTGCGCTTGACGCGGCCTTTCCACTGAGCCCTTTGCAGGCCGGTTTTTTGGGTAGAGAGGTGAAGCAGAAAGGTTTACTTCAAGCACTGCTTGTGCTGTTGAATCTAAGTTGGCTTGCTTTGGAAGAATCATTACATATCTGACCCCAGGCCTTTTCCATTGCCTTGTCCGTCTTTGACAACCGCCTCTACGAAGCGCTGCGGATCTACTACTAGCCTGATAGTGCTCTGACTTGACCTTGCCACCTTGCCCAGAGCAGTCTTGCCTGCTCGAGAAGCCTGCAAGCAACACTCGCCAAGCGAGGATACGCTAACGACACTGAAGCTGACATCCAGCTTTTTCAAGTTTTTTCCAAACTGCATGGTGCCAAAGGAGCACTGCATTTGCCACACAACATACATTCGTGATTAGTGGTGTTGAATCCCTTCTCTGATCGTGGATAGCTTCGCAGGCATGAGAATCACCCCTGTATGCATATGAACGAACTCAGCGGCATTTCTCCAAGGATGATTTTCAGTACTCATGTCTGCAATTTGGGGATTGCCGGGAACGGAATGATTCCTTCATTCACGGTGTCCTCAAGCTTGCACAGGCCTCTTGTCTGAGGCACTTCAAGGAATCCAGTCAGCCTTTGTTCCAACGAAACGCTCAGCAGACGGGTGCCGTCCCTGATAGTTGGAAGGCTGCGGTCTTGGCATTCGTTGCCAGGCTTGGAGACATCCTAGCAACCGTGGGACTGCACGGAGAAGAGCGATTTCATTACGAGTGCTCGTCAGGGCAGGTCTGGGAGTGGATTTCAACCCGAGGTCTGGGAGTCTAGGCACACGTTGTCGTCGGACGAGAGTTTATGAGATCGATGAGGGTGCAAGGGGGTTCCCAGCAAGGGGGCCGAGTCTCTGTGCCCTTGCGCCAAAGGTGCACATATTATATGGAGTCTTCTCAGTAAAGAAGTTTTTGACCACTTGTGCAGCATGAGAGGGGGGTCTTCATGCGAGAGTACTTCGTCGGAAACATGGGTAAGGGATGGGTCCTTGTTCCAAGAAATGATACATGCAAATTTTCGCCCGGAAGCTCAAATGAGAAGAAGAAGTAGCAACTTGTTTCAGGCAGCGCAACATGCAACGGTGCTTGAGATGACTTGTTGCTTTTGCTCTACTCTACAACCTGTGGGTGGAAGATTGAAGAGCGAGGACAAGGGGTTGACCAAGGCAGCAATTCAAGGACTTCCAAGCCTTAGAGTGGTATGTATTCCTACCAGAATGATAGACCACCTGACGCTTATCACACGAATTTCGACCAAGCCTTCTTTCTCCGCCATGGCACAAGCACTGCCATGTGTGTCAACCTGGTGCCAAATCGCTACAGCCTCAGCCATGCACCAGCGCGTTAGGAACCCGAGAGACTTCGATAGGCTTGTAGGGGTTGAGGTGATTCCGAAAAAGGTAGTACTGGGTCAGGGAGGCTCGTTTGCTTAAGGCTATCGCCAAGTGTCCAAGTGCGTTAGTGTGCTCATATACTTGTGTGCACGGAAGAAAGAGCAGTAAATGAGTGAGTGAAGAAGGGCGTGTGAATTCCATTCAGGCGCCCAGCAGACAGCGGAACACAAACTTGTTGTTAGCTTGCTGGCTCCCTGTATTGGAAGTTGCTGTGCTGATGGGTGGGTGGGTGGGTGGGTGGGCGGGTGGGCGGGTGGGTGGGTGGGTGGGTGGGTGGGTGGGTCGCTGGCTAGCTGGCTGGCTGGCTGGCTGGCTGGATGGATGGATGGATGGATGGATGGACGGATGGACGGATCAACAGTAGAAGCACCTGCGCATGGTTGTGTCTGCGTGTTGCACTTTTTTGCTGAGGCCACGTCGTTAACAAAAACTCAAAGGTTTGCGTAAGCAGCCGAAGGTTGAGTTTTCTCACACGTCATGAAAGAATCGACCTTGCTGGCCGTATACAAGAAGCAGTTCTACAACAGCCGAGAATGTCCTTCAAGCCTGGGCCGGGGATGCGGCATGTCCTTTTCTGAAAGTGTTGCGGCCGATGCCACTGTGCAACAGTTTGAATGAACGCCGGTCAGTTATCCCAAAAATGATGCCAGTTTAGAGTTTGCAGCCGATTATAGTCCAGCCCAGTTGACATTTTCCCATGAGAGCTGGTCAGCTCGTGCTTCGCCAAGGCTTGGAACCCGCCAGCATTGGGGCAAGCTCCCAAGGCAGGCAAAGATTTGAAAAGGAGAACGTCTTGCTCTTGCAGCTTGGCTCTCAGGGCAGAGCAGCTTCTCATCGTCCCACGGGCTTAGCAAGTCTCTCCCTGGGTGTGGCAGCCAAACGCTTACTGTTCTACTCCGGGCTCATAAGGGCGGCAGACCAGTCCTGGATGCAAATACATGTTTTTGAGGCACTGAGCCGCATGCAGTATCTGCGGAATAAAAGGCCAGCACATTGCCAGCACGTTTGTACAGAAGATGCCGGTGAGAGTTTTCTTTGCCTTGGAAGGCACGCGCGCGCAGGCAGGCCTAACCTGTCTGGGCCAGCAGTTCTTCGGCAGAGCTCGGCGGAGGATGGTACTTTGGTATTCAAAGAGTACAGTTGTCGGTTGGTAGTGGTCCGCCAGGAATCTGGCGACGCGCTGATCCCCCCAATGTGGAGAGCTGAGCGGTTGGGAACCGAGAACCTGGAAACTGGAGCGTAGATAACATTGAGGCCTATGGGACGCTTGGTCACCAAGGGAAGTACCACAGGACTTGAGCCCGTGCCAAAGTTGCCTTGAGCTTGCGGGGTCTTGGATCACCCGAAGACGAGCCAAGATATGACCCTTTTGATGCACCGGAGTTCATCGAGGATGAACATGGCGGAGGTGTACTCACTACTTTCACGGTGCATTTGAACTGGCTGTGGGAGTTGCAGTTCCTGCCAGGCATCTTCAGCTGGATGCCCGTCACTGCAGAAGGTGGATTGTTGCCAGAGGGCGAATACGATGAGCAGTCCTTTGAGGCAATTTGATGTTATTGGTGCCCCATTCTCTTGACCTGGACGCGGTGCAGGTTCCGGCAGATCGTATTGAGTACTTGCAGGGAAGCGGATGGCTGCAAGCAAAGGGGGATGAGGCACAAAATGCGTTTTTCGTCGTGTTTTGCGAGTAACCCGACCGGCAAGGACTACCGTGCCTACATCGTGGGCGAGGTTAGGCATGATGCTGTGTGCCAGTGCTTGAACAGGGATGTGGCACTGCTGAGGTCTCCGAAGCGCATGGCCGCAAGTGGCAGCGTATCATTCTGAAAGGGCGCAAGCCACTTGTCCTGAGCTTGGTAGGGTCTCGTGTGAAGGGCTCCAGTGGGAATCGATCAAGGTTCAACAGAACCAGGGTCGTGCTGATAGAATGTTGTGCGCTCGCAGGGAGTCTGTGCACGAGGGTGGCCTGCGGCTGATGGCACCCCAGCTGCAAGCAGGCATGGTCTTCGAATGCCCAACAGGTGCTGCAGGTAATCTTGTGTGAGGTCCTTGTCTCCAAGTTGAGTCAAGTATGTGATGGTCTTCTTGATGGATCCATGTGGTCCTTGGGAACGAAGTTGAGCTACTTCCAGCTTCATTGGCCTCTTTTTGCCTCGGTTGTGGGAGGCAACCTCCGGGGAAAGGCTGGCCAAAGAACGTGACTAGGCCGTTAAGTTTTCCTGGAGCCCAGAGATGAGGCTCCAGCACTAGCAACGGCTCGCAGGAGATAGTCCCGCTTTGGCTTTGCAAGAAGGAAAGTCTCAATGTTCAGATGCCCCTATGCAAGCCCCTTTTCTGAACCTCGTTCTCCTTTTATCAGGATGGGACCGTGTTGCAGCTAGACTTGCCTTTAGACATCCATCTATGCCGCGACACATGTCAGCTTTTGTAGGATTTGTCTTTTTTGTTGACGGAATATACTAGACCGAATCAGACCGAAGGAAGGCGTTCTGAGACAGCGCCCGTGGGTTGACTGCTCAGCGCTGTTCTCCTCAGTGCGTCAGAAGTGTTTTGCCTACTTGTCTGCTTCAGGACCAGCCGGTTGGAGAATTGCCGCGCCCCGATGACCTGAAGGACAGGTGAAGGATGTGTTGGGTGGCGAGAGGGCAGAATGCAGTCGCCTCGTCGTAGGAGCCTGTGCTTCTGCCACGAGCATGAACGCTGCCAAAAGTCTCACAGACGATTTGTGTCAGCTTGAGTGCCTTGGTGATGGGACCCCTGACGCTAGCTGACTGATTGCTGCCACTACGCGGAACAAACTGGCCAGATGCTTTCTTGTGTGGCTAGCGTTCTTGACCGTTTCTGCTTCTGCATGAGTGTCAGTTTCGGGGATTTGCGAAAGGGTTGTCAGCCATCAAGCGTTTTGTCACCCGAGAACGCGCGAATGGGTGGACAGATCTTCAGGCCCATCGTCAGGTTTTCTGTGGACCAATTGACAACAAGGCCTCTTGCCATGGCTTCTTAATGCTAGAGCTTGGACAGTTGGAATGTTTTGGTTGGGTAATCTCAGAATTACTTGAATATTCTGGGCGCATGTTTCTCCCTGCGCATCTGAAACGTGGCTCCATGCATCTTATCTCAAGCTGCACTAGCGTGATGACGCCTAGCCTTGGCTTGCCTTGCCGCATGAGGTAGTATTGTTGGTCGTATTGCGTTAAGAGGTTTGACCGCAGCTTTGTTTGGGGAAGCACCAAGCTGCTTGTGTCAGCAAATCTGGTTATTTTGTTTCTCCATGCCATTGAAGATGCTCTCGCGAACTCTGCTTCATAGAGCAGAATCAGCATCTGATTATCTAGCCAATTCCCCGCTTATATTCGCTGCGGGAGATCATTTTTCCAGATTGGAATCCAGATTGGAATCGCAAATGCACTTGGAAGATTGCTGCTGGCTAGGGAGAAGGCCCGGTGTGGTGCTGCTGGCGCATCGAAGTTCGGGCGCTCTATTTGCTGCTGTCAAACAGGTGCATGCGATACTTCTGCCTGAAACGCCGCAGCTGTGGACGCCTTCCATCTCTGGCTGCAAATACCCCAGTTGCTGCGTGTCAGTGCCGTTGCTTCGAGCGACCAGTATTTCAGCAAAGCACAGGACGGCTTCGATGGCGAAACTGCGAGTGAACTCGCTGAGGTCCAAAGAAATCAAGACGACATATGACATCCTTTTTCCTGTGCAGGTCATGCTCCAGGCAGCTGCGGTCTTGGAGCCGCCAGGTGGGGCACTGTTCTCTGGAGGACGGCACCTTGCTGCAAAACCAGCATGCAGGACCGGCTGAGACTCGCATCCGAGACTCGAGCCCTGCCCGGTTCTCACAGCCCAGTTCTTGCACCACTCGTAGAAGGTGCCACGTAAATCAGGTTGCCGTCTACTCGACACCACGTGCGAACCTCAAAGCAGAACATAGATCATGGGACCTTCCAATCTGCCCCGTGAGGTGACGTGGAAGGAAGGTGGCAAGTCATGTCCTCAAATAGAAATTGCAAGAAGTATGGTGCATGTGCGGACGAATGCTTGCCTCTGGTGATAGGAATTCGCGATGCACTCCAATTGCAGTCCCCGAAGCCCATCTAGATCCTCTCAGCGAGCAGAGGACTAGCAACGTGCGCGCAGCATGTTGGATATAGCTATTTTTTGGAGAGCGTGCCGTTCTGGTGAGGATGGCGGACCTCAATTTGAACACCAGTTGCTGACTTCGACGGACTGAACTTTAACGCTGCATGTCCACATTCAGCAGGCTTAAAACAAATTGGACATTCCCAGACTTTGCTGAGCTTGCGAGGAGCTGCCTCGGGCTCACGTGGACAGAGATTCAGGTAGGAAGATTTGCACTGCCTGTGAGTAGGAGCTACCTGCAATTTCAACATTGAATCAGAGGTGCTTGTGAGTGCATGGTCATGGTCTACTTTGCAAGCATGAATTCCCGCAGACGTTTTTTACATCGCTCGGGCAGTACGTGGGACCCAAACGGGATAGGTCAAGCCTACGAACCCTTGCCATCCCTTTGACACCTGTGGGTGTTGGGCCCTTAATCAGCAGCCAAGGCCCGACTCGTTGTGCCGTGCAGCGTGGTGCGAAGGTTGGTAGAAAGTAGTAAGCTGTTGAGGCGCCGAACTTGGCGGCAATGGCAGATCTTCCTCCAGGCTTCTTGACACTTGGTCAGACTTCCCTCTGCAGAGCACTATTCGGGTTTCAGGACTCGCCTTTGATACGGCCCTGAAGCAGCCCTCTTCCCTGTCTGGCTTTGAGATGCTGCCTGTGCCTGAGTCCTCAGCTGTCTTGGCCGCAGAGATCTTGGTTCCAGTATTTGAGGCCGCCGACGGCAGCATTGCCGGCGCCGACGCCAGAGGAGGAGGCTGCCATGCAAGAGATGATCGCTGCCCAGCTGGAGAAGGAGCCATGTCGAGTTTAATCGACATTTGCCGATTTGAACATGAGTTCTACTTATTCTAGTTGTCAGGACATCGCAGATGCAACTGTGGCTGTGACAGCCATGGTGGCCATGACAGCGCCAGCAATGTCCGAGACGCCTGTAAAGTCTGCTTGTGGCTGGGGTTCTCTCCTCATCATCCGTTTGTCTTCTTGGCGCTAAGCTAGCCACGAGCTGCATGCCCGCGCTTGAGGCAAGAACAATGATCCTTCGAGTTTGCTGACACGAGTGAGACGAGCGAAGCTGCCTCAGTCACTTCACGCACCCTGGTTGCTGAGCCTATCAGTGTTTTTTGCATGGTCTCCAGGCCTGGAAGGAGCGTGCCTTTGGTGGTCTTGCGCCAGGAGGCAATTCTGCAGGTCTTTGGACCAGGACTGTTTCTTGCCGTACCCATGCAGGCACCTGCGGAGCTCAAGCAGTACATGAAGGTGCTTGCCAGTGCTTGCATCTGTGGCAAGGTTCAAGAATGAAGCGTTAGAAAATCTGCAACAGGATGGCACCACATTTGCCACGTGGTTGCGCCATCGTACAGGCCTGCTGAAGGCCCGGAACATGAGCTAGTCTCGGTGTCATGTCCAATGCTTGTGTGCCTGCAGAGTATTCTACCATTTCATGGAAGGTGAATGGCCTTCCAGGGGAAGAGATTGTTGCTTTTGCAGGGAAGCGCCCTGAGTTGACGTCATGTCGTCATGTGTCGGACACCACGGGGAGCCTGCGGGGAGCCTGCCCCAACTGCCAAGGTCTGCTAAGGAGCAGCCAGCTGAGCACGAAACCGCCCTAGACCCGCAGGCTCAACGGAGACGAGCTTTGCAACAGCCTTCACTTGCACGCGAAGAGGCAGTAGAATTCAATCCAATCTACGGCCTTGACCTCTGCGACATGGCAGAGTTCTGGTCTTACCAACCTCATGTTCATCAGGCTTGTGTTGTATTTGTGAGAAGATACAGCAGCGTTGCAGCAGCATCTAATGTGCCAGAAAAGGTACATGGCATATGATGAGGCCTTCGGTATGCTGTGCTCAAGCAAACTTCGCCAAACTAGTGTTGGCCGTCAGGCTTGCAATGATATGGCAGCCTTCATCCCGTATTTTGAAGAAGGTACGGGTCATGCAAAGACTCTAGTGCCCGAAGTCTTTTCTTGGTGCCCAAAAACTCCCAGGCCAGAGTGGCGCAGATTATGCGCTGCCCGACGAGTTTGGAGAGTCGGCGGTGACAGGCACATAACTCTTGATTGAATAGAGTAAGGCTTCAAAGCTGTACTGCAACAAATTACTGTGGCTCTCTGTCCTAGAGGACTTGTGGCAAAACAGTACGGCGACTCAAGCAGCAAGCAATTGCTTGTCAGACCCAACGCTGGTTGCACACCTACAGTCCAGTTCCAAACCGCCCCTAGAAGGCTTCAACCGAAACCCAAGGTGTCAAGAGATTGTAGAAGTTCGTGCAGCTGCCACTGCACTTTTTTGCTGCTAGCATTCCTACACGCCCCCGAGCTGAGCCGTGTGCGTTGACGGGCAATAGGCTGTTGTCATCGCCAACGATCACGGGGTGCACGACCTTCGTTGCAGTTTCCGTGCTTGACTTTGAGATGGATTATTGAAGACATAGTATGTATTGCTCTATGGACTTCTGAGTTTGTGCGTGCCCATCGAGATCATAAAGTTTGCTCCTTGGTCCCAACTCAATGGTTTATTGTATCAGTTGTATCATAAGCCGTCGGACCTGGCAGCGATTTCTCGCAAGTCGAGCACACGCTGGCCTTCACGGCCGGGACAAGTTTGCTTCAAGTAGAGTGTAAAGTGTAAAGCATCCGTTTCGTCACCGCTTTAGCCAAGCCGGGCGTCGATTTCCTTGTCTCATTATTGAGGTATCATGGTTTACCTGGCTATTGGCCCGCGCAGCGCATTCAAATGGAAACTGCTAACTCATTCTTCGTTACCTGTCAAGGCAAACTCCGGATTGGATTTGTGGTGGCCGCGTTGAATGTACACTTCGAGAGTTTTGCATATTTTTTGCATCTGAACGTGGCTCCAAAAAATCGTTTCATAGATTTTTTCAGAGCATCCAATACTGAAGTGCTTTGTCATG